CCCTTTTACCTCACCATCTCCATTTCTTTCTCCCAACACTCCTCACCTACCCCGCCATCACGACTTTCTCTTTCTCCAACACTCCTCCATCATCTTCAACATCGACTTACCATTCTCCTAAACCGATCTACTTTTAAACACCTTTACGCTAATCAGTGAACACCCCCTTACATAGTGTTAGGCTAGGTTAGGTTTGGTTAGGTTAGTTGGTTTGTTAGGTTAAGTTGGGTTTGGTTAGGTTTGGTTGGGTTAGGTTAGGTTTGGTTAGGTTTGGTTTGGTTAGGTTAGGTTTGGTTAGGTTTGGTTTGGTTGGGTTAGGTTGGTTTGGTTGGGTTTGGTTTGGTTAGGTTGGGTTAGGTTTGTTTTGGTTGGGTTAGGTTAGGTTAGGTTTGGTTGGGTTTGGTTAGGTTAGGTTGGGTTAGGTTAGGTTGGGTTTGGTTTGGTTTGGTTGGGTTTGGTTAGGTTAGGTTAGGTTGGGTTTGGTTTGGTTTGGTTTGGTTTGGTTTGGTTGGGTTTGGTTTGGTTAGGTTAGGTTTGGTTAGGTTTGGTTAGGTTTGGTTTGGTTTGGTTTGGTTTGGTTTGGTTTGGTTTGGTTTGGTTTGGTTTGGTTTGGTTTGGTTTGGTTTGGTTAGGTTAGGTTTGGTTTGGTTTGGTTTGGTTTGGTTGGTTTGGTTTGGTTTGGTTGGGTTGGTTGGTTTGGTTTGGTTGGTTAGGTTGGTTAGGTTAGGTTGGTTGGTTTGGTTTGGTTTGGTTTGGTTGGTTGTTTGGTTGGTTAGGTTTGGTTGGGTTTGGTTAGGTTTGGTTAGGTTTGGTTTGGTTTGGTTTGGTTTGGTTTGGTTTGGTTTGGTTTGGTTTGGTTTGGTTTGGTTTGGTTTGGTTTGGTTTGGTTTGGTTTGGTTTGGTTTGGTTAGGTTAAGTCAGACCAGACTAGTATTAGGTTCTTTGGAAGGTTAACGTGTTTAATCATTTAATCAACAAGTGAAATAAGCTGGGGTGCCTATTCCTCAGGTGATCCGCCCAGTCCCGTTACTGCCAACAATGCAAATTAGGTAAATCAGATGAACCTCCTCCTCCTGATTTCACCTTTACAAGAGATCAGAAGTACTGAGGTTAGTAAATGACTTTGTAGTATTATTAACCTTTGTTTGGGAGAGACAAGGAAGAGAATATAGAATTAACATATAAACAGACACACATACGTAGACGACATAGCTACCAAAAACACTTCATTGGGTTAGAAAAAAAAGAGAGTCACAACATCAGCTACTTCTCCCTCCTCCTCCTCCTCACCACCACCACCAAGTCCTCCCCAAGTTGCCACAGATCACACCTTAAGAGCTCCTTCCCTCCCTCGTATCCATCCAGCCACTTCCTGGACCTTGGCGACCACTGCTGCAACATCGGTCTCTCTCCCGTGTGTGTGTGTGTGTGTGTGTGTGTGTGTGTGTGTGTGTGTGTGTGTGTGTGTGTGTGTGTGTGTTTACATCTTCCTTAGTTCCGTGAGTGCGTGTGTTCTTGCTTGCATGCAGGATTACGAGCCCAAGTCACCATCTAACGAAGGGTCGTGGTAGTGTAAGCAAGACGACAGATTACCCCCTCCCTCCTGGGTTAGTGACCTATTAAGAGTTACAAAGATATTTTCTCAGATGAGTGACTTTCCTCAGTGTGGCATTGAGTGGCGTGCAACTTGAGGGCGTCACTTCAGGGTTACAAAGGTGCAGGTTATGATAGTAGTCTTGGAACATGTGTGGTGTGTGTGTGTGTGTGTGTGTGTTAAAGTGTGTAAAGAAGACGTTGATGGTATGTTATGCGTGGACGGACACACACACACACACACACACACACACACACACACACACACATACACCCAGGTAACTCAGGGTCACTATACAGTAATATCTAACGCCCTCACCACAAGACGTCTCCACCAGTCGACCATACTGACTCATCGACCTTTATATATCGGTTGGTAGGAAGCATTGAAGGGTTGACCTCTAAATATCGCCAGAATCAGACCCTATCACCCCTTTATTCCTCCTCATCAATCATTGAACGCTTTAATGGCTCAACATATATATACACAACCTCATAATAGATTCACAAAGCGTCTATATAAACACAATTCAATAGTCCACCTTAATGGGTTTATAGTGTTATCACTCAACTTTAATGGTCGCCAGTTCTGTATACAGCTATCACTTGGTTTTAATGGTTTAGTTAAGCACCATTACCACTCGACCACTACGACTTGTGAGGTGCAATTAAGGTGATCAGGAACTTAAGTCACCTTGGGGGGGTGGGGTGTAATTTTTTTTAGTTAGGTTTGGGAAGGTGGAAACTCACGGCACGAGTAAACGTTGAAAAAAATTATCTATGGAAATGTGCAATCTCTTTGACTTTTCTCCTTGTATCTCTTTTCTTCTTGTATCTTTTCTCCCTTTCTCCTTGTATCTTTCTCTTCCTTTCTCACTTTCTCTCCCTAGTATCTCTCTCTCTCTTGTATCTCTCTTTCCTTTATCTCTTTCTCTGTATCTCTCCCTTTCTCCTGTATCTCTCTTCTCTCTCTCAACAATCATCCTGACCTCTGCGCAACAATCACAGAACACCAGAGTAATCATAGCCCCCTCTTCCTCTCCACTAACCCAAACAAGAGCTATGAGACTTTCACCACGTTACGGATCACTGATGATTAGAATATGACAATGAATTCATCCACGTCAACAGAAAGAAGAGTTTAGTAATCCTCTATTCTGCCTCGCGTCATGCATAGGAACTCAAGTCAACATCTGGTGTGGTAGGTTAGGTTAGGTTAGGTTAGGTTAGGTTAGGTTAGGTTAGGTTAGGTTAGGTTAGGTTAGGTTAGGTTAATGTTAGGGTAGGTTAGGTTAGGTTAGGTTAGGTTGTTAGGTTAGGTTGGTTAGGTTAGGTTAGGTTAGGTTAGGTTAGACTGTTAGGTTAGGTTAGGTTAGGTTAGGTTTGACTGTTAGGTTATGATACGGTAAGTTTCTTAGGATTTGGTCTGCGTAGGTTAGGTTAACTTAGATTTGAATAAGTTATGTTTGTTTCAAGTTGTTTGAGTTAGATTCGGTCTGGCTTGTTTTAGGAATTGGTTGAATTGGGGCTTATGAGAACTGGGGCTCGTATGAGCAGTCTCCTATAAGTGAGACAGACATGACCCCACCACCTGACGAGAACTCACGTCAGATATGTCACGAGGGACAAGGTAACAGCTTATTAGATACAAAGCTTAAAACATGTTATTACGTCACTAAATCCCCCTGAAGCTTCAAGTTCAAGACACACCTGAAGAATAATAATGTGTGAGAGGCAGGTAACTAACTCATCAGACGTCAGGAGGCAGAGTGGAGGAAGGATCACATCACAGCACGATAACAGTATATCCGGCCTCAAGTCCTCTGGTGTGGATAATGTGATGCACCTCAAGTGATGACAGGTGAGGTAGGTGATTCCACTAATCGGATAGTTTACATGTGACTAGTCGTCCTCACCACTACCACCGTCGCCTGCTGCCAGTATATTACCACCATCATTACTACTACTACACCACCACCACCACCACTTCCACAAACACCATTATCACAAGCAATAAACACCACTAACAACACAACTGCCAGCTCCTCCACCTTCACCACCACTCTCACTCTCCTACACACACACACACACACACACACACACACACACACACACACACACACACACATACACACACACACACACACACACATACGTCCCCTCATCAACAACATAACAAACAATGCAAAAAAATAGCAACATGAGTTACCTACAGACCCACAAAAGGACTCCTGTACTGAGGGTAAGAACTGGCACCAGGACTCACCAGGACAGCCACCACAATGGTTCTTTTGTGTTGGTCAAGAGACGGATGTGTTGTGGTGCTAGTGCCAGAGTCAGTGAACTCTTATTGGCCAGGTCATGAATCTACAAAGGTCGGTGTTATTTGTATTACCTGCCGTGTCTTTTGATGTAAGGGTGTATTTACCTAACCAAATTTAACCTCACCTAATCTTACCTAACCAGATGATGGACGGATACACCTAACCTAACCTAACCTAACCTAACCTAACCTAACCTAACCTAACCTAACCTAACCTATCCTAACCTAACCTATCCTAACCTAACCTGGTGATGTAAAGATATATATAACCTCATCTAATCTAACCTAATCCAGTTAATCTAACCTTACCAAACAATAACCAAACCCAAACATATAATAACCTTAAAACAATAACCTAACGGTCCTAGCCCTAACCAAACCTAACTGGTTGAATCCGACTAAAAGGTGTGGGGGGTGGGGGTGTAGTTAAGAAACAGCCTCGCCATTATAGTAAAAAGGACGTGATGCGGACTTGTTGTGGTGGCAAGTGTCGAGTGCCACAGGCGGTGGATTCTTTACTAGCCAGCTCTTGTGCCATGGTCTTTAAGGCTTGTTTAAAGACGATGTATTCAACTGCCTCAAGTGGCCAGTGTTGACGACATGACAAAGAGAGGGGTCAAGGTCTGTGTCGCCCTCACCATGCAACACCTCACTGTTTCTATCACCAGAGAAGGCGACAGTTTGTTCCCCTGAATAGCGTGTGATTGTGGCACATGTTAATCTCGCATGTATTTACTCACGCTTATATAAACAGTGTATACGACAACGACGACATATGTTGTATATATGAGACCTAGTACCATTTACACGGCTTATACACTAGTGCCAAGTTATGTTTTGTATGTACCAGCTCCAATATGTGCTGTGTATATGCAGATCCCATACTATATAAGCGTGTCAACAATCTGAAGGTGTCTATCCACTTTAAGACTTAATTTTAATCGGTAACTCCGTGAACCTGCGACAAATCAGGATACACAGGGAAGTTACACATAGCCGTTGTTGTGGAGAGAAGAGGCCAAGTTTCCTTCTGAGATGATGAGGAAATGAATGAGGTTTAGAGAAATTAGGAATGAACATGAAATCACTTGGATTCCTTCTTCATTTTTTGATACTTTTTCTTTGTCTGTGGAATAAGCACCTGGTGTGACCGTCCTGGGTGTGACCGTCCAGGGTGTGACCGTCCTGGGTGTGACCGTCCAGGTGTGACCGTCCTGTTGTGACCGTCCTGGGTGTGACCGTCCTGGGTGTGACCGTCAGGGGTGTGACCGTCCTGGGTGTGACCGTCCAGGGTGTGACCGCCCTGGGTGTGACCGTCCTCGGTGTGACCGTCCTGGGTGTGACCGTCCTGGGTGGTGACCGTCCTGGGTGTGACCGTCAGAGGTGTGTGACCGTCCTGGGTGTGACTGTCCTGGGTGTGACCGTCCTGGGTGTGACCGTCCTGGGTGTGACCGTCCTGGTGTGACCATCCTGGGTGTGACCGTCCCTCGTGTGACCGTCCTGGGTGTGACCGTCCAAGGTGGACCTCCTGGTGTGACCGTGGTGTGACCGTCCTGGGTGACCGTCCTGGGTGTGACCGTCCTGGGTGTGACCGTCTGGGTGTAACCGTTCTGGGTGTGACCGTCCAGGGTGTGACCGTCCTGGGTGTGACCGTCCTGGGTGTGACCGTCCAGGTGTGACCGTCCTGGGTGTGACCGTCCAGGGTGTGACGTCCAGGGTATGACCGTCCTGGGTGTGACCGTCCTGGGTGTGACCGTCCTGGGTATGACCGTCCTGGGTGTGACCGTCCTGGGTGTGACCGTCCCCTTCAATTCAGCAACACGTAACACCAAATGACATAAGACAATTCAAAGGAGAGAGGCAGGGTAGTGAGAAACAACAAGGGATTCTCACCTTACGGTCAGCCTCCGGGAGTGATCACGTCATCAACACCATTACCTGTAAACAAAGTGAAGGTTCTTGAGTGCACGCCAAGAGATATATAAACAAGAGTAAGACGTTTTCAAGAGTATATTTATATCAAATAAACAATTACTCAATATAAAAGGAATTGCTCCAAGAGGTATTTCATTATTTATCCCCAATTAAAAATAAAAACAACAGCAGGAACTCATCTAGACCATCACCTGTAAATCTTTTCCAAGAGATATATAACACATAAGTAAATTAAGTCTTCTAAAGCACATTTATCAAACAAACAATTATCCAAATGAAAAGTAGTTTGGTGCAGGAAGTATCTCTCTATGTATTAACAATAATGAAACACCTACACTGCCAACACTCCATCTTGTAGAGCCATCCTAATCTATACCCAATATATACAACTCTACGGCCGTTTCTTCCACTGAGTGTCTTAACCACGCCCTCCAACATTTCAAAACATCCTGCTTCAAATATCTTCAGTCTTTGGCAAGGAGACGCCTCCGTGAGTAGATCTGAGAGCACTCGTCTCATCCCTCCCTACGTCATATATTTATCGAAAATACATACAAACATTCGTAAAATTCTACAACAAGCAACAATATCGGTATATTTTCCCCATCAATTTAAGAAGATAGTCTATCTTAGTAAGGAACACACTGTATCTCTAACATGGACTAATTAACAGGTAATAAGGTGAGTCATGACGCCCACCAGGTACATACAATCTAATCAAGATAACCTGCCCTGTAAAATGCTCTTACCCTCACTGTGGTCCATATAATAAAAGCTTACTGTTTATGTGTCACGATACATACATACCAACAGGGTGTATATACTATGTACATATGAAGGAAGTAAAGACACAGAAATAAATAATAAATAGAGAACAAATAACAGGAATAATAAACTATCACTAGACAGAAGGAAGGAATCAGACACAGAAAGATAAATAGTGAATAAAAGTCAAAGTTAACAATTTACACACACACACAATATGATAAATGAACGTGTGAACTAGATAATTAATACTGGATAAATAATGGTAGGAATTCGTCTCGTGTGTAAAACAATATCTGTACCCAACCACATAATTACTATCACTGTTAAGCGAGTGTATAATATGTGATGGTTTAGGGCGCTTTTACTCTTACACACATACACACACACACACACATGCAAACATACACAATACAATATACACACACAAAGACACAGATATACAAACCAAAAATGTGTGTGTGTGTGTTGGTTCTCTCGTGCCATATGGTTGCGTGTCATTTTTTCTAAACATCATCTCCACTCCTCACTACCCACGCCAATCATTACCACACTGAATACAAAAAAATCATTGGAGACCACACACGCTTCTTTAATAAACCATAAGTATATAGTTATTTTTTTTCTCCCATAAACTAAACCCAACAGCTCCATTCAGCGAGGTTTATTGACTATATGTTTCATGTTACTAATTCAAGTTACAAGTAGCGATGACAAATTACCCCCGGGGCTGGTACAGATATTCTCATTTATTACACGAGATGGGGAGTAACATGCGACATAACGAGAGGGAACAGGCGAGGCACGTAAATTACTTCATCACCACACGCCCGCCCGCCCAGGTGTGTTGATTCCACGAGTGTTGAAGCGGAAGTGGAGGGCGGGATGGTATACGCATGTAGTACTTCACAACTTTCTCGGTATATGCGAAAGTATATTCATATCGCAGTACTGTCTCTCTCTCACACACACACACTCTTGTACACCGCATTTAGAGATCATGTGGTGTTTTGTATTATAATTTATGAAATAAACATTATTATCAGTCATCATTGTCATCATTATTATTATTATTGCCATCATTATCATCATTCACACACTGGTTAGTGGCGTTATTGTTGTTCTTATTGTCGCTTTTGTAACTGTTATCATCATCATCATCGCTATTATCATGAATGACCATTATCTTTATTACCCTAGACCTAGAGGAAACACGCACGACCTAATTTAATCAACCACAATCGGTCAATAACAGGAATTGTTCATGACAGGTTGTTGCTGTTGAACACATTGACGAAGAACAAGATGGCGGCGAATCCCAGTGTCAACAAGCAGTCTAGGAAGGATTGTACAAGAACACTCAGGACGGGGACGTCCCTCAAGCCCTGGGATTACCTCTCTCCAGGACCTACAGGAGGTGACGCCACCGCTAACACGGGAGTGTTGAGCTGGTCCTGACGCCTACTACTGGGGGGGTGGTGATGTGGGGGGGTGGGGGGTGGGGGTGGTGGGTGGTGGTGGGGTGGTGGGTGGTGGTGGGGGTGGTGGGTGGTGGTGGGGTGGTGGGTGGTGGTGGGGTGGTGGGGGTGGTGGGTGGTGGTGGGGGTGGTGGGTGGTGGTGGGGGTGGTGGGGGTGGTGATGGTGGGGGTGATGGTGGGGTGATAGTGGTGGTGGTGTGGGGTTGGGGGGTGGTGGGAGTGGTGATGGTGGTGGGAGGTGATGATTGTGGGGGTTGGGGGGTGGTGGGGGTGCTGATGGTGGGGGTGGTGATGGTGAGGGTGATGGTGGGGGTTGATGGTGGTGGGGGAGGGTTGATGGTGGTGGGAGGGGTTGATGGTGGTGAAGGACGGGAGGTGAGGGAGTAGTGATGGTGGTGGGGGTGATGGTGGTGGGAGGTGATGATAGTGTTTTGTTGTGGTGACGTGTAACAACTGTCTCCGCCACTACCGCACGTGTGGACAGAAGGCCCTACCACTATAGTCTCTGCCTCACAGATCACCAATGAGGGTCACATCACTTGATTCAGAGTGACAAACATTAACACAACAACGATAAATACCAAAAGATATACCAGAGAAAATTAAAATGACAAAGTGAAATAAACTAATACAAGCAATAATAAAACAGCGGTAAACTATGAATCGACTAGTGCCTGTTTACACTTGTCTACTTGCCTTCAAATTCACCAATAAGTTCTTTCCTAATTGCAGTTTTAAGGGTTCTTTTTGACAGACCCAAATTGTATTCAACAGTGTCTTTGTATCACGACCCTGCATCTCAAGAATCAACTGACCTTATACTGAGGAGGGGATGAAGATGTGTGTGGTTCCTGTGTAAGTATATCCAAGTAAACTGATATAACATGACTAGTACACCTATACTCCCGTGTGTACTGGTATAAACATCTATATTGACAGTTAAGAAATACATATCGGTGTATATATATAAGACACTTGAAAATGTAATATAAAAAAAAAACTCATACAAACGCATAATATTTTCTTCGTATCATGGGTTAGATAGACAGCCAGGAACTATAGTATATTCTAGAACACACACACACACACACACACACACACACACACACACACACACACACACACACACACACACACACACACACACACACTTTGTAATCACGGGGCGGGTGTCGGCGGTCGCTTGAACACACTCAGGTCTCGGGTCATTCACACGCGATCGGATATTTTTCCCTTTCTGGTGTTACTCCCACATGATAAAAGTTTAACACAACACAACACGCGAGCCAGAGTTTTATATCACCCGCTACTATTCCCACACCATACAACTTTGATGCCTGGGTTGGGTTGGGGTGAGGTTGGGTTGGGGTGGGGTGAGGTGAGGTTGGGTTGGGTGTAAGTCTCCACTGACCCCCTCTAAAATATGATAAAATTATTGTCATTATCAATCTAAAATCCATATAAATAATCCCATTAATATCACGTTAAAAATTCATTATTTATATTCAGTGTTGAAATACAAATAAAAACCGGTTTCTCATACCATACACATTTATACATATCTAAAAATACTGTGAACTAATTAACTGATTCAATATTTCACAGTGAAGAGTTAATTTCCTTGACACAATGTATAACTCTCATCACGATATAATTCTTTTCCGATGACAAAAAGCAAATCCTCTCATGCAATGGATAACCCCCACACGTGTGATAACCTTTACCAGTATAATAATTTCTGGATCTAGTTAACAAAGAAATCCTCGATACTGATCACAAAAATTGCCATGTTATAAAACCATTATTTGAGAGTTAACAAGAACAATAACACTGTTTACACTCGTCCCATGGCCAAAAAAAGTACCTTATCTAATCTCTGGCTGAAGAAAAAAAAACATTGCCAATAAACTCTGATTTAATTGAAACTGATGTGAGTCTACGCGAGTTTACCGATATATATATATATATATATATAACTGTACTTTGAGACTTGTGTAAACTGTACTCTTCATTCTTCAGAGGTTTTCCTTGTAGTGTTACAGATAAACAACATTACTTATCTGTGTAATCTATCTTATGTGTGTGTGTCGCTATCATGTTATCTCGTGGATGCGATGAGAGGGAGGGAGAGAGCGAGGGAGGGAGACGGAAGGGGGAGGGTAGGGAAGGGAGCCTCTTGGGTGCCTCTTGGAGTAGTTAGGTGTAGCGTTCATGTGTTCCTCTTATTATTATTCCTCTTTTATTTTTTTCCACTATTTTCTTCTTCTTTTTCATCTCTCTCACTCTGTCTCTTGATCGCCTACGTTTCCTACTTTTTCTTCGTTTTCTCTTCTCAGAATCATCTTATTTTTAGTTCGTATTCTTCCATATTCTTTCTTTCTTTTATTCGTCACCTTCTCCGTTGTCTTCATGTGTCGCAGTGAGGCCAAGGTGACACACTCATGTTTGTCAGTGATGGAGATGAGGTATACGAGGGGGTGAGGGCCAGGTTAGTGCCATCCTGGTGCCAGGCCCTCACTAAGACAGGCGGTGACTGCTTGTAACAGCTGGTTCCTCCCTCCCCTTCATTCCTTCCTTTCTCCACCTCTCCTTCCTTCCTCCATCTCTTCTTCCCTTCCTCTACCCCTCCGTTCCTCCCCGCATTCCTTCCTTCCTCCATCTCTTCCTCCTTCCTTTCATCTATCCCTTCCTTCATCCTTCCATCCCTCAAACCATAAACCAATCCACCCCTTCCTCCCTCCCTCCATCCATCCCTACCTTCATCCATCTATCCATCCCTCCCTCCTTCCTAGGTCAGGTGTGTTCTTACCCACAGGTGGGCCTCACTGCTTGTAGTCGACCACTCTTGAGTCTTGCCTCTCCTGTGTCGTGTCCTGGATTCTCAGTCGTCGACCTAGATCACAGTCTAGCTTATAAATGTATTTCAATGTCACATGAATTCACGGCTGATGTAACTTATAAGGATCACGTGAAGAGTAGACACCCCAGCTTAGTTTATCTGATTAAGCTCCCTAATGCTACCTACCTAGAGGGGAGAGTTGGGATGGTTAGGTTGTTTAGATTAATGTAATTAATGTAAGACACGGAAAGATAAGTTAGGTTAGGTTTAGGTAAGGTTAG